CGTTACGTGCGCGCGAACTTGATGTATAATTTGCAAAATTTTGTGTTACTCACTCATTTATTGGAGGGCACTGTACAGTACATGGTTAATGAACTAAATAAACATCTTTCCCCTGGACTTACCAACCATGCATGTACTTTTTCTTGCCTCCAAAATTATATCTAAAAAATTTTACCTGTACTTGATAATCGAGTTGTCTTTATGGAACTGTCAGCAGTTGTTTCAGAAGTTAAATCATCACATGGTTCATCAATGTGAACAGGTTGAAAAGCAAAGTCTTCGGGGTATTGATGCATGTTTTGGGAAGTAGGATCATCTGCAAAAGATGAGGTGAAGACCACAGAACTGGAAGATGCAAGCAGCACAGGGATAATCAAATCTACTCCAGCATTGTTTCGTTTACAAATGATGGCAGCACCACGTGTCATAGCATGGAGAAGATGCTGTCTTCTTGGTGAATAGAACATAGGGATAAAATGTGTAAAAAAAATAGTTCCATTCATAAACTCTGAGCATTCTGTGTCCTTCACTGTTGAAATTAACCCAATGGCTTTTTTTCCTAAAAGTGCTTCAAGGAAAGATTGTGCATTGATATTGATTGGACATGTCCAATTGAGTGATTGATACAACTGACCATTCTTGCTTGTATTCATACTTGCAACATCAGCTGCCAGAATACAGAAGGAGAAGCATTCTTGCAACAAGCTCCCCATGGTAACCACCATCAACCACCCCACAATGTGTGGCATCAAAGAGTTTATCAACAAGTTTGATCAGGTGACCAGGTTGAAGCATGAGTTCTGCTGCCACATCTACCAAAATACAAAATTGGTTCTGAGGGCGATATTGTGAACAGATAACGGTGTGACTTGCTAATAAATATACAAAGGCGCAGATAACTACCAACCATTTCAGATGCTATGTGATTGGTTGGAACAACCTCAAGACAAAGTCGGACTGAGAGGACACTGAGCGCCCACTTTCACCAATGAATTCTAATGTGGATTACTGATCGGAGTTCTCCTCGGCGTCATGCTTTATTATTATTATACACTCCATCAAAATAAACTTCACGACATAATTGATAAAATAATCAATTTAATCGAGCCTAAAAAAAGGCACAATAACAATAATAAATCAAATAAACAATTTAGCGAACGAAGTTACTTACCAGACGTCGAAAAAACTGTGGAAGAACTTTAAAAGCTTGTTTGACAAAAAGGTTGGGCTGGATCCGAAATTTTCATTCTATCAAATGGCAACTGAAACCCGCGAGTTACGCGAAGGAAAAGGTGTTGCAGCCTCCACGTTGAAAAACTTTTACAAACGAAAAACGAATCCGAGGAAAAGAACACTAGAAGCCATTGAAGAATGGCTGGATAAGAATAAAGAAATAGATGACAGTGACAATATTATTAATAGTAGTAATAGTAAAGAAGATAATGAAATTTAAATTTGTACCAGAGTGCCCAAAGAATAGGTTATACTCATTAATGGCTTTGGGTCCGAGTATTTTCCTCCCATGCAATCACTCTGGTGCTTTTATTATTGAATATGTTTCAAAAGCGATCGCATTCTATAAAGATCAATAAAATTATGTCTACAAATTGAATTGTCGTTATGTAATTTTTACTCTTTGGTTGCAATTGCATAAAAGTGTGAAACGCAAATAAAAGTTCAACGAATGCACTCAAACGGTACTTTACCAACAAGTCAAAAATGCTTTTCCTTATCTGTCTTCGAGTTTTCGTTTCTTTCTTGGTTCATCATGTGTTGGTGTTAATGCTCGTTTATTAGTTATAATTTTCCTTTCCTCTTGGTAAATTTCATAAGTAATTTTTTCTTTATCAGATATTTCTTGAGAATTTTAGTGTCATTCATTTTAAAAACATAAGGGGCAATTTTTTCTCCTTGAGCTTTTTTAGAATACTTCTAATAGTGCTATAATTCTTTGGTTCCATGGTGGATTTAATGTAAATTAGTTTTATATTAATAATTTTATATAGGGATAATCCCATATTTATCACATTATGGTTTATATTCCTCACATTCTGGTATTAGTATTATAAAGTGGGCATTAAAATTAACAAGTCCACAAGTTATGAATGAGCACCATTATTACTTTTCAAATTGTCATCAGTCACATTGTAATTGGTCAATTTTACAGCCACATTAACATCATAATCAGCCTCTCATTTATTATTATGTCACATAATAAAATGTTCATTTTGTCTGGTTTTGTTGCCCCCCATGTATAACTGTTATTACAAATGCATATAAAAATTTTTTTTCGTATAAACATTACCTTATATGTAATAGATCAAAATTTGTTATTGTGGTACACTTTCTTCACTCAGATCTCTACCTAGACTAGCATCGGCAACCTCGATAGTCACATGCCCACACATTTTTTTTCGCCAAGACTTAGTCAAGTAAATTTGTTACTCTCTTTCACATTTGCCCTGGGGTAGTAAAATGGTATGGATTATGGATGTGGATGGAGATATACTATTCGTGACGTGCGCATTGTAGTTATCATAGGATGGATGGGACATTGTTATGGAAGATTTCTTATCACCCATACAAAGAACCACCCAACGAAAGAACCGTACGCTTCGATACTTTCACTTTATACATACTGATATTGCTTTTAAAATTCTAAAGGATGACAGTCAAGCTGAACAAAAAAAGAAACGTGTATTCAAAAAGTTCTCCTACCGAGGAGTCGACCTCGATCAGCTTCTTGACCTGTCTTCCGAGCAGCTTATGGAGCTTGTTCATGCCCGTGCTCGTCGAAGATTTCAGCGTGGTTTAAAGAGAAAACCCATGGGATTGATCAAAAAGCTTAGGAAAGCCAAGAAAAACGCCCCACCGGACGAGAAGCCAGCGCCTGTAAAGACACATCTGAGAGATATGATTATCGTACCAGAAATGATTGGTTCAGTTGTTGGAGTCTATAGTGGAAAGACGTTTAATCAAGTTGAAATTAAGGTTAGTTTGAGTGCAAGGAAGAAAGGAAGGAAGAAAGGAAGGAAGGAAGGAAGGAACCCCAATTACAAGAGGGGTTCTATTTGCGGTGATATTGGTTGCCGTTTGCATTTTGATTCATCTAGTACATGTCTCTTCTTTTTTCTTTTAGCCGGAGATGATCGGACATTATCTAGCCGAATTTTCCATTACGTACAAACCCGTTAAACATGGTCGTCCTGGTATCGGTGCTACTCATTCATCGCGATTCATTCCACTCAAGTAAAAAATAAATTAAAGTAAAACCAAATACTGGAAATGCAACATATGTAAGAGTCAACTTTATTACATTAATTCAATAACGAAACCTTTCTGTGCAAATGGCCGAATATCAATTGACAGTAATTGATAAAAAGAATTTATAACTTTGACAATCTAATTCAAATTCTTAGTCAAGTCTGGTGCTACGTCACTTAATAAAATTGTTAGTTAAATCAATCTTGTCTGCTAATGAGCGGATTATTCCCATATGTCAGTTAAGCAATGATAGTGCCAAAAAACATTTGACAAGATCATACAGGTTTATTTCCTAACGAACGAGGTCTCGAAGTCACGCTTTGGTCTGGTATTTTCCGATTACATCACCAACTAATGATGTTGATATTGTGTTCCAATGTGGCCAGACCGATTGACAGGTGAGGCAGAAAGATTGCGTATCGTTGTATATAAATCCCGTCATCCTGGATTTATATATATCCGATATACGCCGTATGGCGACGAGATTTCTATGATGGAATCTCAACGTATTCTCTTCGCATATGCTTGACATTGTATTACAATTCGTATAGTCAATCTCAGTTTTGTGAAAAGCAAGTTAATTGATCATGATATCGTTATATTCGTGAGCAACAAGTCACTGCTGCTAATTCGACAAGGGATAAACAAGAAATAATTCCTGCATATTTTCCCCGCATTCTTCTACACTTCCGAATTAGTCCAATTCCAGGATCATCATTTAGGACATCCCCAATACAGTCAGGGATTATACCAAATTTGGGGAAAGGCTAAAGCGGAGCAGAACGTGATCCTGTATTTGCAGTTTTATTGGCTGCCATACAAATTTGAC